AAAAAAAAAAAAAAAAAAAGAGAAAAGAATGATTGTCAGAAAGAAGGAATAAGAAAATAAATTAGTATGATACTACTGTTTTTTGAAATAAGGAATTCAAACAGTGGAAGAAAAGATAATAGGTCTAAAATTGTCTTTGAATTTCTCTATTTCTTCCTGCCAAAAATATGGGACTGTCAAAGACTTACAGACTTACAGGCCTCTGGAGGTGAACAAGCAAACATCCTCTAATGTGATGGTTAATTTTTTTTTTAATCAGAGTCTCACTCTAGCCCAGGCTGGAGTGCAGTGGCATGCTCATGACCAACAGAGCCTCAACCTGCTGGGCTCAGGTGATCCTTCCACCTCAGCTTTCCAAGTAGCTAGAACTACAGGTACATGTCACCATGCCTGGCTGACTTTTTTCATTTATTATAGAGATGAAGTCTCATCAAGTTGTCCAGGCTGGGTTTGAACCCGTGTGCTTAGGAAATCCTCTCACCTCAGCCTCTCAAAGTGATGGTTAATATTATGTGTCAACTTGACTGCCCAAATATTTTCTTAACTATTATTTCTAGGTATGTCTGTGAGGATGTTTCTGGATGAGATTAATATTTTAATAAGTACATTGGATAAAGCAGAATGTCCTCCACTGGACTTCATTCAATCCATTGAAAGCCTAAATAGAATAAAGACTGAGTAAAAAAGATTCCTTTCCCTCTGCCTGTCTTTGACCGGGGATACGAGTCTTCTCTTGCCTTTGGATTTCGACTCAGTATGGAGTTGAACTTACACTATCAGCTCTCCTGGTTCTATAGCCTTTGGGCTCAGACTGGAACTGTACCATGGTCTCGCAAGGCTCTATAGCTTGCCAACTACAGATCTTGGACTTCTCAGCTTCTATAATCATGTGAGTACTTATAAATTAAATATAAATGTATGTATGTGTGTGTGTATACATATATATGTAATTTACTTTAAGGAATTATACCAATATAGTAATCGTTCCATATATGATATATATCTTAAAAGTTCTGTTTCTCTGGAGATCTCAGGATAGAGGCCTTGGTATTCAAATTTCAAGAACTATAAAAAAGTAGGAAGAAGATAAACTGGCTTCCTGAAAACGTTCATAACATCCTGTGCCTACGCACACATTTATACTTAATACTAGATTTTAACAACTTACTTACCATCTACTTAACTAGAGAAAAGGTCTTGAAGGATAGCAACTCATCTTGTCTCCTGTTATATAAGTGACTAGTACAATGCATGGTTAATTGCAGTGCTCAATAATTGCTACTGACTAAACACATGAATGAATAAATAACTTGGATGTTTCTCTAAGTTCCTTTTAAATTTCAGGTAAGCTAAATGCTAAAATGCTACTAAAGTCATCTGGTCATTCTATTTTTGGTAGAAATAACAAGTGATAATTTTTCCTTTGTTTTATAACAGTTTATCTGAGTAAATACAAATTAACACAATGTTTAGTGACAAGGAAGACAAAATATTGATTATGGCTTATGGTTAACTATGCCTCTAAACCATATTTTGTCGTAGGACACACAAAATATAAGTGAAGCCTTTTTCTAAGATTAATCTATATTGTATGACAAAGAATCTAAGATTTAATGTACTGAATTCTAATCGTGTAAAGTATTGGACTTATCAGAGAATTTAATAAAACTACCTGAGAATCAACTATATGACTGAACCTCAAATAGGAGAGCTTCAGGTAGTTGTGAATGAAGAATGAAATGTCTGCCATAAACTCAGAGAAAAAATAATAGTCCTCAATATAGTCACACAAAATGGGCTCAATATGCGTGAACAACTTCCTCTGAGAAAGATAATTCTCAAAGATAAAGTATGAATTAGGAAGTATTAGCTCTCAAAGATAGGTCAATAAGAACTATATCTGCTTTTTTTTTTTTTTTTTTTTTTGAGTTGGGGTATCACTCTATTGCCCAGACTGGAGTGCAGTGGCTGCTCCCGGCCACCGCAGCCTTGACCTTCTGGGCTTCAGCCATCCTTCCACCTCAGCCTTCCAAGTAACCAGAATTACAGGCATGCGCTACCACGCCCATCCGATTTTTTGATTTATTGTAGAGATGAGGTCTTGCTGCCCAGGCGGGTCTCAAACCCGCGGGCTCAGGCAATCCACTCACCTCAGCCTGCCAAAGGCGCTGGATTACAGGCTGAGCCACCGAGCCCAGCTTATATCTGCTTCTTAAACACAGGTAGGATGCTCATTCAAATGTCATGCGTTCTGAGACAAATTCAGTTGACATTTTAAAAATGCATATTCATTTATCATTTTGACTATATGTCATGTTTCTAAAAAGGATAACTGTAAGTGACCTGAGTTAATATGGTTTTAAACTGACTTTTATTCTTACAAATTTATCATATATAAATGACAAAAAAATAGTTCTATTATTGTCTCTGGAGAAACTATGAGAAATTTACTTCCAATTTTAAGCCAAAATATTTCCAAATAACTGGAAAGTAGTGAATAAATATTTAGTTTTCAACTAGCAAATGTTTTTTATTATTTTATGATCCTCAGAAATCTTAAAAACAAGATGAACCGATTGCACACTTCTATACAGGTAATTAAATTTACGAAAGAAAAATGACAAGCAGTAATCTGTAAAATTTATGTTTACTCTGGCATATTTTTATCTTCACTAAAGAAATGATTCACCTTTAGCTGTAGTGCCTTTTCTAAGTTTTCAATCTTCTTTTCAGCTTTTCTCAGCTTCCTTAGCTCCTCTGAGTCTGTGAAAGAGCTCTTTGGGGACAAAGACCTTGAACGTTTCACAGGTGGTTCCTCGAGAATAAAACAAGGACATGGTTGAACTAGTTGGAACACTGGATTATGAAAGACATGCAAAATTAAAGAACAAGTAATTTTGAATACTAATAATGAATTATAAAAAAAATCCTGCATGGAATACCAGAGAAATAACAAGCGGAATTACCACAGTGCTACCACTAAAGGTTTCTCTGTGACTCGTTAATGAGAATATTCATTTACATTTACATTGTTTCTTTCAGAATAATGATGTCCCATTAGGGAAGACTAAAGGGTTATAGACTCAGAAATGCAAGAAACCTCATTACAAAGGAGGGGATAGAGGCTGGTCTAATTGCTCTATAAGGGTCCAAGGTTACACTTGATAGGACAACCAGAAACAAGAGGGAAAGGATTTTTTTCCCTTTGAAATAGTTTAACACACTGTGAAGTTGAAGGAACAATATGCTTGAGGAATATAAATACAACAGACAGTAGATCTTATACCATAATGGCCATATGGTCATTAACTATAATGTGGCTAACTAGAGACAAGAATATGTTTATATTATGTACAGCTTCATATACCAATCTGGAGAAGGAATATGTGAAAGCAACTATTAAGCTGGGCAACACAGTGTTCATCCTTACTGCGTGTCCTTACAAAAAAGAAAGGAAACTTTGGTCAAAATGCCCCTCTCTCCTTTTCTTGACCATTACTAAAATCAGAGAAACATCAAAGTTATGCATTTACAAACTTCAGCAATACAGTAAGCAACAAAACTATGCCCTATGATGTTGTATCTGGATTTTACGGATGTTTTTTCACTTTAAAAAAAGGCTCAGTGCTTGTGAAACTACATCACAATTGCATGAAATGTATAATGCAGTTATGTTTTAATAAATACATACATAAAGGTCATCCTCTGAAAATTACTAATGATTTTATAGAGAGAGTGAGTAAGAGTACCACAGAAACATGAGTCTAATTTTAAGTGCTTCTTTATTAAGATGTTCTGTCCTACTCATAGGATAAATGAAAAGAACCAAAAATATTTACCTTGAAACATGGTTTTCTATTATACAAAACATTATTCCTCTATTGCTGAAGTAACAATAGAAAGAATGTTAAAACTCTTACTTTTAGGAAAATATTATGTCATTTTATCTAGAAATAACAGAATATTGAGGAATTTTTATATTAATTAACATTCTGTAGAATCTTTTACAGCATAACATGAATATGTAATGAATATTAAAAGAAGAAAACCTGAAACATTAATAAATGAGAAACATGGCACATAAAATTTGACTATTTTTCTCTCCTGCTATCCCTTCAAATCTATAAAAATATATAAGTGGAGAAGTTAATGTTAAAATTTATTTAATATTTTATATTCCACATAGAAAGTATTTTAAATATATCTGAATAAAATAGAAACATTAGATATATTTTTCTCTTAATTAAAATTAGAAAATTGAGTAAATGATACTCTATTTTAAAAGGAATTTTTAATCAGAGAGATGAAGAATATTTATAAAAACATTCTAATATAAGAATATTAATTTACTGGCAAAATGGGTATACTACTACTAATATATTTCATTAATTATTTGGGGAATAGAAGGAAAGCTTTAGAAAGAGAAAACTTTCTATTCCTAAGAGCTATTTTATCAGAGTTTGGCACATAAAATTTTTCAAAAGCTTCCAGAAATATAAGCAGAGAAGTAAATGTTGCTTTTTTTTTTTTTTTTTTTTTTTTTATCTCTTGCCTTGCAGCTTCAGCCTGGCAAATTTACAAAATGACAAAATATCCCTACCTTATGTTTTCCTTCAGTACTTGTCATGATGCTCTTCTCTGAGAAACCCTTGCTGGGGGGTTTGTTCTCTGACAGTTTTTCATTTGCTATCTTCAGTTTCTCCTGTAAATATTCAATTTCAGACTTCTGTGAGACCATTAATGTTTCCAAGCTTGAAAAGGATGGCCGATGAGAAACCTATTCAAAAAGTGTATGTGTAAATATATGTATGCTTGCATCTTATATTATTTACAAATACATACAAATACTTACATATAATATTACATTTTATCAATCATAAGTATTCAGAGGAAGAAAAGCTTTTTTTAACAAGGACTATAAACTAGCATTAGCTAAGCCTTATCATCCTAATAGAATGGCATTTTTCAATAAATTAGTAACCTAGAGTCTACATAAATATTTTCACAAAAGATGTTGTCATACAAAATTGCAGAGGAAAATGTGTAAAGCATGGCTCCATGATGCACACCACTCATCTAGAAACTTATCAAGTCAAATTTACAATTATATACATATTCCCTCACAAAATACTCAACCTACCATCTGATCATCAAGAGTCATACAATATCATAGAATATAAACCTAGAAAAAAGAAACCAATAAAAACTATAAGTTCAATTAGCTTTTAATGTATCATAATTTAAATAACAACTCACCAAAGAACTCTGATACTTTTAAAAGTCAATACAGTTTACATCATTCTCCTCTGAAATTTATCCATGTGTCAGACAAACTGCTAATGGTAAGACCCACATTTTAATAACAGAAATGACAGAAAAATTAATTTTGTAGAAAGCCTGCTAATGAAAAACTAGCATTCTGCAAAAATTCTACTACAAACTCACTGGATATACATAAATGTTATTTCAAATTAACCACTACATTTACAGAAAACAAACACTGAAAAATAGTGAAAATAAAGTTTTTGTTGATTTACCAGCAAATGAATGCCAAATCTTATGATCTAGTATTTTAATATGGATATAGTAGCCCTGCAAATATTTTCATCTTAAACTTAAGGACTGCTCCATTTTTCCTAAATGCTGTTCCTAAGGATTATGAAAACATACATGTTTAACTATTGTGAACCAACAATGGGAGTACTATCCTTTTCCTTTTCCAGTTTTGCATGCTTTTTTCTTTTTTAGGGGGATAGGCAAATTTTTTGTAATTCTAACCTGTAATTTTTATTATGAGAGGGTTCATCTTTGATTTATACTTTCCTCATATTTAAATCATCTGATATGTTTTCTAGCCTTTATTCCACCATACTAATAACTATCTTCCACAAAGCGCTGCTTATATTGTACTGTTACTATACTTAAAATATATTCCTAACTTCATTATCTTGTTTTGAATATTAAATTAAAATACTTTTAAGCATTTTTTCCTCCAGTAAGTCTAAATAATTTTGCCTAATCCTTTCTCCCCCTTATAATCACTGTTTAGCTTGTATTTTTTCCTCCTATTTTATAATCAAACTTAAGTTGCTTAAAAATATTTCCTTTGATTGTGCTGCCAAGCTAAATAATTTTGAAGGCCACCTGTTTTTGCCTAGGTTTCCTTTAGTAAAATTATGAAGGATATATGAACACTCCATCATTTACCAAATTTTAAATAATTTGCTCAAGATCAAACAAAAGTTTAAAATTTTAAGAAAACATAATCTTAGTTTACTAGTATACCCAGTAAATAATCTTATGTTCTTCAATAAATGAATTTTTTAAGTCATCACTGGATTATAATGATGTATGTAAGAATATTTTTTTAAAAAATCAACATTTAGTCAAGAACCTGCAATGATAAATAAATCAAATAGTTATAAAGACAATAATGCTCCAACAATGGATTGTCTCACTATAATAATGGCCTTATTTTTAGTAATATTTCTATTAATATTAACAGTATAAATATTCATATAAATATTTTTCAAACAATAAAGGATATTTAGATAGCATTCCTTTAAAATTATAAATAATAATAGAACTTCAAAATTAAAAAACTATGAAAGAAGTGATAACTCAAATTCACATAGAAGCTAGGAAGATAATTTGAATAAATAAGTAAAATGGATTGTGTTCGGTTTTTAAAAATACTAGCTTTCAAACTCAGTCAATATAGGCATTTTGTATAAACCACTAAGATATGTTCATCCACTAAACCACTAAACCATTAAGATATGTTCATCCCCTTTACAAAGTAGCTTACATATTCCTATTTTTTAAATGCCTTCTCTTACTCTTGCCAGAGACATATCTGAAGAAATATTCTACATTTCTTTTAATACAACCTTTTTTTTTAAGTATAAGCAAAATGAAATGTCAAACAAGAGAGTCTCACCACTAAGGAGTAAGGAGGGTAATTTGTGGCAGTTGCTAATCAGCTTCAGCCAATTGTTTTCATGGAGGAATGTGAACCACTATTGCTAGATCTACTTAAAGAGAGGCAAGGAATAACTGTTTCTAAGAAAAGTGTCCATATTTTAAAGTGTTGGTTGGACCCACTTTATGACTCCTGTACTTTGTATAATTTGCTATAAATTTTCTAGGAAAATTTTGAAATGTGCACCAAAGCCCATAACAATGTATCAAACCTTTGATTAACTCCTAATTATGCAGAGAGTTGATATGGAAAGATATCCATGATGAATTAAGTGAGAAAAGCAGGGTACATTATACTATATAGAAATAAATTTCACCAAATATGTATAGGGGAAAAAACAACCCTAAAAGTTTGCAGTGTTGTTTCTACAAGACTGTATGTGTATTATTTTCTTCATAATTATCTGGATTTCCTTAAATTTTTTACAGGGAACACATCACTAAATGTTTCCTAAAATAAAAATATTTAATTTTTCTGGAAATAAAATGACTAAAAGCTCAATGTAAAACTTTCAGTATAGGTAGGAGAGATTATAAATGAAAATCTCTTCATAATCTCATCCCTCAGAGATTTTGGTGGTAAGTTTTGATATATCTCCCATACTTAAAAAAAAAAGGCAAACCATATTTCTTTCAACCTACTTTACACATTAAAAGACTTTTTTTCTTAGAATAGTTTTATATATACAGAAAAATTAAGCTGATACTATACAGAGTCGTCCTTCATCTCCTTCCCAATCCACCCAGTTTCCTTTGTGATTAACATCTTGAATTTACTATGGTACATTTGTTACAATTACTGAACCAATATTTATACATTATTATTAACTAAAGAACATAGTTTATTCAGATTTCCTCAGTTTTTGCCTAATACTCTTTTTTTGTTTCAGGATTCCATCTAGTTTATAACATTACATTTAGTCATCTGATCTTCTTGAGCTCCTCTTGCTGTGACAGTTTCTCACACTTTCCTTGTTTTTAATGACCTTGACAGTTTTGTTTCATGCCCCTTCTTTGAAATTTGTCTGATGTTTTTCTCATGACTACATTGGGGTCATGAGTTTGAAGGAGGAATATCATCAAGGTAAAGTGCCGTTTTCACTGCATCACATCAACATGATTTACGAACACTAATGATGACCTTAGTCACCAGGCTGAAGCACTATTTTGTCAGGTTAATCCACTGTGAGGTTACTCTTTTGTCTCCAACCATACTGTACTTTTTACCTGCTTTTAAAAACTTAATATTCACACATATATATGGATAATCCTTATGTGTATGTCCAATAATATATATGAGTATATATCCTCATAGATCTTTATATATTCTTACACATCCTTGTCCTTTTTAAGGGCTGCTTTATACGTGTAGCAAAATCAAGTTAACCAATTCCTTCTCTGTGGAATTTCATTCTATTACCCTTAAATTCTAGAATCTTTGAAAAGTTTACTTTCATTGCTATTGTTATTTTATAAATAAAAAAATTTTCTCAAATATTGAAAAATATTTTGCTCCACTTTTAGTTTACAATCATGAAATATAATGGAATTTTGCTAGATTATAGTTAATCTGATGAGAAATGTTCAGTGGACTATGTGTCTAAAAGCCCCCGATGGATATAATCTCTTTAAATTGCCTTTATTAATATATAATTTTCCCCACATTTACACCCAGAGCTAATTTTGATGGAAAAGTTCTGTATAAGATATAGAATAGAAGAGGGTGGAGTCTTTAAGAGTTGTGCCAATTACTCTTTTTTAAACTGTACAACTTAAATACCTAGGACATTACATTAAAGCCAAACAACATTGTATGGCATTATTACAGTGAAGAATGGCTGAATATTGTGTGATAACTAGAAAACAGTTTCACACCCATAATAATTACAAAAGCTGTAAGTTAAATTGTTTTATTACTAAGTTTTAATTAAATATATTTGCTTCCTACTATATCGATATGATAACAATAACTATCATTTATTGGGAAAGAATTTAGTTCCTTTCTCTAGCCAAGCATTTTACATACATTATCTCACTATTTAAGAACTTTAAAAATTCCAAAGTTGTCACCACACAACATAACCTACAGCAAAAGAAAAAGGTCTTGATACCATAACAAAATAAAGAGTTTCTCCTAAAACGATATCTCACTGAAAATTAAGTATAGGTCAAACATATGTTTGTAAATTCTGCAGTGTGTTTAAAAATATCTAACATAGACATATATATGACAAAAACTGACTACCTGACTGCTCTTTGAAAACCAGCTAAAATCTTCTGGTGATGACACACACACACACACACACACACACACACACACACACACACACACACGATTTTCTTCTCATGAAATGACTAAATCTCTGTATTCAGAGATTGGCATTATATTTAAAATTGATTTCAGAAATGTAGAAACACCTTTATTACTAATTCATAAAACATTGTTAGCTGAGTCACCCATAACCTGAAAATAAATGACTTTAACCACAGTCATATATTCTTGAAAAAAAAAAAAGGGAGGGGGGAATATATGTAATGTCAAATCAAGATGATATTGTAAATCAGAATGATCTTATAACAAAAGTTCACAAATGAAATTAAGTGTACCAGTTTAAACTTACATCTCACTTTTTAAAAGACCACTAAATTGAGTAATGAATGTCCAATATCAACAAATTCTGAAAGTGTTCCCTTTTTTAAAAAGTATAAATATTTGCATTTCTTCCATTGATTCACTTTTAACTCAAATATCATCAGACAGCATTTAGAGATCACAAAATATAATGAAATTATTAA